GTTGTTACGTTCAATAGTACTTATTATTACGTAATTCCCATCGTTTTACATTAAACTCAAGTTCACTGTAATTCCCACTATTACTCAGTTTCCTATGTTTAAGATGGATGAAAATCTATTTCTTTTTATTTTTGTTTCAGGTATGTTTCGTGGTCATCTTAAGTTCAAAAACGAAACCGAAGAGTACGTATGTCTATGTCCGTGTACCTATCCAACAATTGTTGTAACAACATGTGCACGTTGATGTAGACGTAAAGGTACCAATACCCAACTATCTCCGCCCGTTCACATTCTTGTAATTTTTCTTGTTTAACCGTTCCTTTCCATTAGCGATTAAGTAACTTAAAGGTAGAATAGAATGTAGTTGGTGTTAATTTCTTGCAGAATTTAACACACTTAAGACGTAAACGCGGTAAAACACTGTTTCTTCTTTCAGTAAGCAGATTAAAAAATATGTCTCCAATTATTTTTGCAGGAAGTTTGAAAAAAGAACTTACATTTAGATTCCATAACTATCCCTACCATAGCATCATGCATACCATTGCATCCAACGATGAATGCAACAGTGCCGTAGCAAAAGTAGACTTTACTAACTATATATTGACAAATTTTAGGGATAAATATCAAAATTACAAACTAAAGAATTGCGTGCAAATCGGAACACTAATTGTTTATGGTTGCGTTATAGTATCGTCATTGTGGGAAATCGCGAATATTCGATAAGCCACTGACGGAATCAGGAGGTTGAATTACGTTTTATGTATTAAGTTGGTATTGTTTTATTTCGTATTGTTTGGTTGGTAATGTTTTTTTATAGTAGATACAATTGCGAATTTCCATAAGTCCACTTATCAACAGTCAAAGTAGTATCATTAGAAAAAAAAATTGCTTACACTAAAGTTCACGTCCTCTATTGTAAAAAATCTTCATCAGTGAAACAATAACAAAAAATTTACTTAACTCAGGAATAAAGTTTAAATATAAATTATATTTCTAAACGTTTTAGTTCGAAAATCTTTTTCATAGCGATATATTTAAAATATTAAACATTATATCCAAATGATCAATGATTTCAAAATCACCACAGTAAACAAAACCTCAACATTTAAGTAGGTAGAAATATTTAATATCTAAGCGGTTATTAAACGTATCGCGAATGAATCACATCAACCGAGTTTATTCCCAGCGTGCGAATGTTTTGAAACCTGCTGTTGCAACTGGCTATTTGCATCGCTCTATTGTCTATGATGCTAAGTCGTTCCCATTTTGAAATTTTGAAAAAATTGCTTCTAATTTTAAGTTCTTTAAACGTTTTGGTTTCTGTTACGTTTTATTTGTATTTTTAACTTAGAGTATGGAAATAAGGTTCCTGGTATAACCATCTTCTGTACATCTGTCGATTTGTATATTTACAGCTCTTTCGCTCAATCGTTTACTGTCATGAAAGAGAAAAAACGGAAATATGTATTAAAGAACCCGAACGGGCTATCGTTGGTTAGGTCTTTTGAACGTTTTGACATATCTACTGTGAATTTTTGAATAATTTAAGTATTATTATAAATATAAATTTAAAACAAATTAGGGATGCGCCTTTTAGTCAGTACTTTTAATTAAAATTCTAAAAGACTTAGTAAAAGACACTGTAGTGACGTTTTCTTATTTAGCGTCTTAAATATTTGGATGCAATAAAGTATATTTCCTTAATTCAGACATGGCATCGTAAATGATTTTCGCTAATAATAAATAAATTTTGCATATTAAAGATGAGACGACCATGACCGTTTTCGAATGCGTTTCAAATGTAGAATCGTGATTGGTTTGACCTTGATACCGTTTTGAATATGAGTTATGATAATAATTTTTTTTTGTCATAATTTAGAATATAATTAAGTATAATTATATGGTGTCACACACCATTAAGTCTCACACAATCACACAGATTTTAGTTCTCGTGAATATCTGAGTAATTTAATCATATTTCATTACGTCTGTAGTATTAAAGATGTGATATATAATCCAAAACGCTTGTATTAAATTACATATTTAGAGTTCAAAATTGCATAGATTATCTTTAATTTTACAGATAGCGAAAAAACAAAATTTTAATTGAGGTTTCTAATAGTGGCAGTATGGGCAATTTCTCGCAGCTATATGGGCAATTTCCTTGGCCCGCTTCACTACGGTTGTAGTGCAATGAAAGTGAGAGTGGACGGAACCGGCCGGCGTGTTGGCGCAAAATATGTACCTAGAGGCATGATGACGTGTTTAAGAAAATATGCCCATACATGCAGCTTTTGTGTTATCGAACAACACGAGAAATAATATTATAAATTTTGAATTTACTTCAACATTTATTATTACTTTTCATTCATTTCTTTTTGCTACGGAAAATTAGGAACGGAATATCACTTCGCACCTTTTTAAAGATGGCTGCTCGGTTGGTATGCGCGCGAATATATATATTCCCTGTTTTCGGCTTCGGCTACAAGTAATCTTATATATAATTTTAAATTTTTGGTATTCTCCTGACCGTTTTCGGCCACGGTAAGTGCTTCAGCTCCGCTGTTGGTGGCGCTCGTGCGCTCTCACGTTTAAATTAAAAATTCAATAATAATAAATTGTAAAAAAAAGAATTGTAATTTTATATGTCAATAAATAGGCTATAAACGAAACTTAGCTTAAGGAGTTCAACAATTGAATATTTGGAACTTTATTGAATCGCATATTTATTAATAAGGAACATTAATTAATGGCCACGGCAACTAATGGATTTTTTATTATAATTTAGTATAAAATATGTGATTTATTGACTCTTAACATATGAATGTTAATTAATGCATTTTTTAAACAAATGATGATAAATAAAATAGATTCTTCTACAAAACCTTGGGAATATCTTCCGTTATTAAAAAAATACGCTAATTAAAAAGGCCTAAGAACATTAGGCATCCTCAGTGAAAAGTGAACTAATTTAAAAAGAAAAATTTGTGGAAAACTGAAAAAATTAAAATAAAAAAATTACATATGAATTCAGGACTTGGGTTTGCGCGATTGCTGACTGTCAGCTGTGACCACAGAACCCAAAAAGAGTCGGAAGCGTTGGTTTATTTGAATAATTTAATTTACAATTACTCAGCAGATAGAACTAGTAAATCGTCCTCTTGATATAATAAAGCCATGTGGCTTTATTATAGTGACCATACGTCATCAGTGCTCGTATCAGATGAAAGCCTTAACTTTATAACTCTCCTACTTAAGCACAAAAAGAAGAAAACAGTTGTTAAGTTTTCGCGATTGTTACATAGGAAATGAAACTATTTTTTCGGACCTAAATTGCGTACATTTGTTTCATTTATTTCATTTTCATTTTGATTTAGATTAGAAAAAATAGTAACATTCCCGAAATGTTTAAAAATATATTATTTTTACATAAAGTTATTATGTTTTTTTTTCAAATAACGAGATTTTTCCTCCGTGACGTCACTGCGTAGCAATTTTGCATTCAAAACCACTACACGAATATGTTGTTGGTTTTACCCAATGTCAGTTCTTTAACCTTTCGCTTGGGTATGATTCAGAACAAAATGTATTCATTACAAAATGAATATCTTGAAAAACAATGTGCTTTCATCAATTTTGTTATGCTACTTTTTGTATATTTGTATATTTGTATGAAATCTCTTGTACATAAATTCGGTTTGGAACCGACTTTAATGAAAGGAGAAGGTTATACGTTCGTTGTATGCATGTTTTATATGTTTACAGATTTCTCCGTCAATTTTAGACCGTTTTTGAAAATTCATTTTTTGTTTGAAAGGGTGCACTCTCGTGATGGTCTCATTGTTACCAAGTCTGAATCTAATGAGGGAATCCCATGAAAATCAAAGGAAATCCTTAAAATTTATAGGCATGCCCGTGTATTCACCAAATTCTCCATCAATTGTGCATTGATTTTGAAAATTCTTCTTTTGTTTGAAAGGATATACTCTCGAGGTGGTCCCTAATTCTGTTCCGGGTTCGTTTCGGCTATCACAAATTACTAATTATTTTCCGCAATTAAAAGTAAACTTTATTCTTGACACAGTACATGTAATCAACAAATCACAGTCACCATGGCAACAAGAAAAGATGAAAAATGTAGAAAAGAGTCTGTAACAGTCTCATTGTCACCAAGAAGTCAGAATCCGATACGTCCCCTTATCAGTCCCTGTATCCGGTCATCAGTCCCCTCGTCTCATCACATGGAAATTGGAAAAAGTCGACAAGCAAACTTTTGAGGTCTATTTTTTTTAAAGTTAGAAAATTATCGTATGTACTTAAAAATTACAACATTCAGAAGGAGCTTTTTGTTCCAAATTATTTAATTCAATACAAGGTGTCAAGTCCTTTTGCGTTGAGTGTAGTTTTTAATTAATATTATTTCTTTAATGGCGGCCACTTTTTTTATAAATCGTTTTAATATTACCACATCGTGAAGTTCCAAAGCTATGATTAACACCTGTCAAATGTCATATGAACAAGACTAATTTGCGTGAACAGGAATTCAATGAGCAAGGTAGTCAAATTAGTAAGGCCAATCAACACATGAGCTATTATCATATTACAAGGTAAACAAATGTACAGTCGTCCACAATGAAATCGTACCATTGATTTATTAAACTTGATGTATTGGACTGTTTCTGTGGCCGAAGGGTTACCATACTGTACTGCCACGCGGAGGTCCGATTCCCGAGCCGAGAGAAATATTTGTATGGCCTACATATATTTCTCTCGTGAGTTTGGGTGTAATTTATGGTTGTTTATGAGTGTGTCCATGGCATCCACGATACAGGGTTTCCCTAGTGAAAATCATAAAAGTAATACGAACAAAATAAATTATATACATAAGTATATGTGAATTTTTATTAATCTCCTATTTAACCCATATATGCCCAGAACTTTTTATAACACCGATTTTTGTAAATTTCACACATGTCGTTTATTGATAACCGCAGATGAGGGTTGTGGTAGTAATTTGCGGTTTTCAGTTTTGAAAGTAGATTTTTTTCAGTGGGTCGAAAACGACCCCTTGGGCACATAAGGTCGTACACCAGTATGGAGAGAGAATCGACGAAATAAAACAATATTATAAGCTAGTCATTTTTATTTCTAGTTTAGATAAGAAAAATAGTAACTTTGAGTAATTAAAATGGGCTAGTAAGGTACATAAGACGTAATATCATTTATGAATGGAACGGATCGAAGCATTTATCATGCAAATTAACGTCACATTTGCGGCACATTTTCACTGTTTTGTTTTTACACAGTGCACATCTTCTTCTCACCTGACCGGTGACGATAATATGCTGAGCTGCATGTTTTCTTACAGAAACAGGTACAGTTGTCCTTACTGGCTTCTGTGGTCCAGGCTGAGTTTTGCCACTCCCATATTTCTGGAGTAGATCCCTTGCAATAGATCGGCGAAATTCCAGCGTGTCTACGTTCGCCCCCAGTGATCTGGCGAGCAAAGAAGAATTGTTGACGGTGACGTCAACTAGCCACATCAAAATGGGAATATACCATTTCTTTCCTCTAATGGCAATCCTGTAAACTCCGATATTAGCATCTAATCTATCTACTCCACCCATATATCGATTGTACTGGTGTACAACATTTGGTTGATCAATATGAATTTTCTGTTTGGCAGCAACTGAATATCGGCGGGCTTTTTGAACAGGGTGTACGCCAAATTCATTTGACAACAGTGTAACAACGCTGTTGTCATTCCAACGTATGGCGCAAATATTATCGTTAGTGTCCAGCCTGTAATCGTAAAATCCTCTGGCCTGCTTTTTACAAGACTTTACCTCCATTAGTGGACATTTGTCCACTCTATTTTGACGAACTGTTCCAGTAATTTTGACATTGCTACTTTTTAAAGCACTTAATAATCCAGGTGATGTAAAAAAATTGTCACAATACACAGAAAACTGTGTGTCTGGAAATTCGCTCTTTACTTTATTCGTCAATTTAGTGACAACATGTTGCCCTAGGCCAGTATCTCGCGGTTCTGATCGTCCCACGTATAAGTCTACTTGCAAACAGTACCCAAGGCGAGTCGCTGCAACCCATGCTTTGAATCCAAAACGGATAGGTTTTCCATGAATATGCTGTTTACAGCCATGACGTCCATAGTAGGGTATCATTGATTCATCAATGCTGAAGTTTTTTTCAATGGGAGCGTATACGAGAAACTTTTCATTCATGATGTTGAACAATGGCCTAATTTTTGCCATTTTATCCGCTGTGCATAGGTTCCTATTATCAGCAACATGAAAATATCTAAATATTTCCTCAAATCGATTACGTCGCATTGATTTGGCCACCAAAACATTGTGGGTATCTTCGTTTGACTCCCAATACATACGCCGTCTCGGCAAAGGCGCGTAACCACTGAGAATTAAAATTCCAATGAAGCAGTACATCTCATCCCCTGAAAGACGAAAAAAAGTAGTATTGTGCTTTTCAACGGCGTACATTACCGTGTGCCTTACTATATACCTTATGACGTCTTCGTTAAAAAATAATTCGAAGAACTCAATCGGTTCACTTTCTTTGGTGAGTGTGAGCACAACATGGGGAGGCGGAGGTGACCACTCATTTCCTTGAAGACGCAAATCTCGTTTTATCCATTTTCGTGGCCTGATGTTGCTCCGTTTTCCACGACGAGGGTTAGCGACGGTCACCGATGCCGTAGAAATGGGTTCGAAGATTTGAGCAGTACTAGTAGGGTTGACTAAAACTTCATTGTCGGTGGTGTCATCACCATTAGTTTCTTCGCGTTGTAGTACTACCATTTCAGCTGGAGCAAGTAACTGATGTCGGTTCAAACGATTTATATTGTCACAGTCCTCCTCACCTGAATCGCCGTCCGATATGCTACCTCCACAAAGCGGATCAAGGTATACGTCGATACCTCGGACATCTTCCTCGTCGTTAAACGACTCCAGGGCGTCAATTATTTCGTTTGTAGAGAGCACGTGTCGAGACCTAAAAAACAAAAACATATGAACATAAAACATGGGATGTGCCCACGGGGTCGTTACCGACCCACAAAAATATTTCAACTGATTACAACTAAAAAAAACTATTTTTAAAACAAAAATTGTTACTATATCTCTTAAACATCTAATTTAGTTTATTATAAAACTTATTTCGACAGTAAAAAACGTAAATCACACAAAATACTTACATTGATTTGCACTCGGTCGCAAACTTTTTCCAGAAATGAACGTGTACGAAGTTGCACTAGCACTGGTCATTAAAAATTATTTTAAAGTAGAAATGATACTGCGCCGTCCTTCAAAATAGTTCTTTTATCTATCGAAAGATGGCACTGTAATAAAAATTTATACAATATTTCGCGGTCAGGGTGCGTTAGAATTATTCAAGTACTTTTGGGTCGTTATCGACCCCCTGGGCATATATAGGTTAAGCACAACAAATTATCGGAGAAGTAAAAAAACATTATTTAATATTAAAAATAATATTTGACATGTTAGGACAAACGCTAAAAGAAAATTTTATTGTTTTTCCAGGCACATTAATAGTAGTTTGTTGAACTTCTGATGATGTGGTTGAAAGCGTGGGTTGAATTACTGTATTTTCGTTATCGTTCTTCTCACTAGAACTCATTTTGGCTACGAAAATATAAAAAAAAAACGAAGAAACAAAAGAATACCAAAGCAGTAGTTTTACCACCATTTTCATTTTTTTTAATAAAAAGCGGTACAGGTAGATATTTTTAAGTCTCGCAACTACGAACATTTGACAGTTGGCTGTATGAGTTTTCCCTTTGCCTGTTGTTTTAGATTTAAAAGTTTAGAGTAGACAGTAATGGATTTTCATCATATTTTCCTTAGAATAATAACGCATAGAATGATAGTTTCATATCAAACGAACTGTCACAAGTGAGGCAAAAATCAAATTCATGTAGGCTAGTTTTAGTAGTACGTTAATTTTCGGTTTTAGTGAATATTTATATAAAAATACAAGTTGAAACGCATTACTTCCTCGTGGAATGTGATTAGTTTCTATTTTATGTTTGTCTGACGTATTTTTACACTCATTTACCGCACATTTCGTCATTTTTAGCTAAAATTCTGGAGCTGTTCGCGGTGCAAGTTGACCTTGAGCACTGAAGGCCCGCCCGCTCGTGTAGGCCCTTTGGGAGCGCTTCAATTTGCCTCACTTAGCGTGTGCGGACTAGGTTTCTATGCGTTATTATTCTAAGATAGTTTCATACTCACTTTGCAAGCCAAAGCTGGGAAGAAGTCGCATGGCCCGTAAATGACAAACTTTCCGTTTTTTGAAAATAATTCTAACGTTTCTGAGAATATTTGAGAAAACTAAATTTATATTGAAAAAAAAAACCATAACAGTCACCTGCATAAGTACCTAAACAATGTTTGTTTAGGTAACTTAGGTAGGCTGAGGCTAATTCGTAATGACTTGTCAGGTAACAGGAGCCTTAAACCAAGGCCATTTGACCGCCTTGCCAGCGTCAGTGCCGGTGGACACGATCCGGTCGCAGTATTTTATAATTAGATCACCTGCTCCACGATTCGTCACGATTACATTACATCAATATATTATTACTAATTTGAATATGATACAAAGTAAAAAGCCATTTTCGTGTAATCCTAACAGATACAAAGTTTAATTTTAATTTAAGTTTAATTAGGCGTACAAATTCAATCATTAATTCGTTGTACGTAGATTATAAAGGCATTACAAGAATGCATTTTGAAACACTGTTATACATATACTCTATACTTAGGCAGTATAACAAGTTTAAAAAAAAGAATAAAAAAACACGAATAAAGTCGTACCATTAGGGTAATAATGTCACATCTGCAAAATGACAACTTTTCAAGAAAGAGGTTTAAGAAGAAGAAACATTTATTTGCCAGAATACAGTATTTCTACAGATCTTGAGTAAAATAGATATAAATAGACGCAGGTGTGCAAATGTTAATGGTATTTCACATTAGTCTCTACAATTACAAATCAATTTGCATTTCGAATTGATATCAATTGGTATTTGTAACTTCTAAATATTCTTTATACTTTAAAAGCAATGTTTAAAGGTTCTACGTACAAAATTAGTCGATAACTTTTTATGCCTAAATGGGAAAATTGTAAAATTTCACATAATATATAAGTGATAAAAGCACTTTTGATGTAAGGGCACATGAAGTCTACAATGTTGTAAAAAGCGGCGTCATTGAGATAACTAAATAATGACTTCTTAAATTCTATACAATTCTTGAAACTTCTAATTTGATTTGTGAATCCGAGCTGTGATTACTAGCTCTCCTATAGTTTTACCGCAAGATTACTTAACTAGTACGGCGTCTGTTGTACACTCAGTCACATATCAAGCATTATGTCAACGACATAAGTTGCAATTTTTAATCAAGAATTCCGACAGTTTGCACAAATCTACACAGCTTATTGGGCCAAAGGGTCAACCACACTCTATATTGTTTTTATTTTACGATACCAAGTGGCAGGATGAACAAGCCTGGTGGATAGCGCCACCCTGTCCACAACAATTGCAGTGCCACTCAGAGCTTTAACACGCAAAGATTTGAGATGCAATGCCACTGCGCACTGAGACGTAAGTTGAAAAGTCCCATGTGCCTGTAATTTCACCAGCACCCCTTCAAAACCGGAACGCAGTAATTGCTCACATTACTGCGTGGCGGCAAAATAGGCAAGGTGGCAGTACTTCCCTGGGCGAACTTTTTCACAAGAAGCTCTACTGCTACGGTCTTACTTATTTGTTAATAGTCCTTTTTTGCTTCTACATTGTGAGAAAGAAATTAAATGAAACTAGGTGAAATTTGCGTGCTTTATAGTATATAATTCTTTTGCAAATAAATGCTAATCTTTGTCAAACAACTATCCACCATGCGCAATGTGATGTTTCGCCATGCATGGCTACCGGGCACGCAATAACCGAGATGCTCGTCAGTTATTACGGTATCCGCACACGGACGTGAGTTCAATTGACCTAGTTCAGAGATATTATAGACGTATAAGTACCAATTAATCGTAATAAATTTTGAAGTTATTATAATTATCAATAATAAAATGGCGTCATTCGATAAGTCGCTTTCTTGGTGTACGAGTAATAAAGCGTCATCCGCAAAATGACAACTTTTCAACAGTGAGATAACTTTTTATGCTTTATTTATTTTGGAATCTAAGGGCGTGAGTATATAAAAAATATTTATACGAGGTTCAAAACTATAGTGAAACAAAAAGTTACTAAAGTTACATACAGCTTCTGCGTACTTGGATGACAAAAGTTCGTGGTAGTGATCTGTTTGACTCTTGCAGGTAGTCTCGATCTATAAGATGTTTGAAATAAATATTGTAATGATAAATAAAGAAAAATTACAGAGAACAACCCCTAGAACTTCTTGCTCATTCTTTTTAGGGGAACCTGCCTTGGAATGAGGAGTAGAGTTTAACCAATATGACGATTTCAAATGTAATTTTCTTACCAAAGAAATAAAGATGACTCGTGTGTTGTTGGTGATGATGTTAAAATTGTAATTATACGTTGTATTTAGCAATTCGCTATTACGCTACTTTTCATTAGCATAATAGCAAATTTACACAATCACGTTCGCCTCCCAACGAAACGTTCGTGTAACACGAGCCGCTGCTTAAGTTTTACGCCAATGTGTAATAATCGCCTTGTGCACCTGTTTGATGTAAACGAGAGGGCAAATTTGAGTTCTAAGTTCGTTGTAGTATCTCGTCGTTCGCGTCCGATAATCGCTCCCGAAACAAGAGCCAATAGCTTAAACACAAAGTCAAATAATCTTTATGACATAGGTAAGCAAATTATGCTTGAAAGCGAACTGTTATACGGGGCTTAGTAAAAGTCTTTTAAAAAAATAACTCAATTTCCCGAAAATTGTATAATTCGGGAAGAACTGGTGATCTAAGTACAATAAAATTAAAAATAGTATAAGAAATGGAAATGGAATTGGTACGTGTTTAAACGTCTGGAGTTTGAATGGAGCAGAACTGCTTTGTATGGAGTTTTAGTGATGTTTAAAGAAGAATATTGACTAGGAGAAGCGGCAGGGCTGATTCTAGTAGTTTAGGGAGTAGGGTTGGGATAGAACGGTACGATAGCAAACACAAAAGTTAAGGGTAGCCGGATTGGTGGTAACGAAAATACCGTTTACTATTTAGTTACGGATATCAAGTAACGTGACGAACAAGTTATACGTCTGGTGGTAAGCGCCATTGGTAGGCACCAACAACAGTTGCAGTGTCACTCAGAGGTTTAAATCGCAAAGGTCCGAGGAGCATTGCCACTACGCCCATCACGCGCCTGAGACATAAGTTGACAAGTCACATATGCCTGTCATTTCACCAGCACCTTTACACTTTACGCCGTGTAACCAACACGGCGACTTATAACAGCGATGCAAACGCGCAATTTTATCAATACAGTCGCTTATTAACCACAAGTTCACGAAATCGCGCGTTTGTACCGATGCAGTCACGCGTTTAAAAGCAGTTGGTATAAATAGATAAGATGGCAGTACCTTCCTAGACGAATTCTTTCATAAGGAGCTCTACTGCTACTTAATATTTCTATCTAGAAACTAATATTTCTTGTCTTGATAACAGCCGATAGATTTTTATTATAATGAAATTACAAGTACTGTACAGGGACTTGCAGTGTTTGGGTTTGACACTATAGGTTTGCAGTGCCATTCAAAGCTTTACGTCGCAAAGACTTTAGCCACCGCGCTCGCCTATAGTTTCACCAGCACCCTAAAGACCGGAACTCAATATTGCTCACGTGCTTGCCGGCAGAAATTGGTATTGCGGCGGT